AGGCGGAGGCGGAGTACCAGGCCGCCCTCGAGGAGGCCCTGCAGCAGGCGCTGGAGGCTAGCCGCCTCGAGGAGAACGCGCACTGGGATGGGCTGGAGCAAGCCCTCGCCCTATCGGCCGCGGGGGACTCCGTCCACTCCCCGTTGTTCGTGCCGCCACCGCCACCCTCGCCGCCCATCAAGCCCAAGCCGGAGCCGACGCGGAAGCGCTCCCTGCCTCCACCCACTTGGCCGGAGGAGGCCTACTCGTGGACGGGCTAGTACCGCGAGTGGGTGAGCGTGCCCCCCGTCCACTTCGCCGCGACGCCGGAGCAGGAGGCCGACCACCTCGAGCGCTGGAAGGCGCACTGGCTTCGGCAGGAGTAGGACGACGGCGAGCAGCAGATGCGCTACGAGGCCATGCTCCAGCGCGATGCGGAGGCGCTCCGGCTCGAGGAGGACGAGGAGGAGCGCGCGCGGCTGGCCGCAATGCCGCCGCCCCAGCAGACGCCGGAGTAGGCTGCCCTGGCAACATACCAGGCGGCGTTCGGCTGGGCAGGCCCTGCTCCCGTCTTCATCGACCTCACCGGCGATGGCGACGGCGGCGTCGACGGCAAGGGCAAGCGCAAGGCCAAGGACGTCTAGGGCAGCGTGCGGGGCTGCAGAAGGCGGGCGCGTGAACTTTTTTAAAGTTTTAATTAATGGTTAGTTATGTTTAAGTGGACTTTGGCCAGCGTTTGACGGGCTATTTATGTTTAATTAAGTTTATTTCATGCGATCTTTTCTTTTTTGCGTGCCCGCACATTTGGGTCTGCCCTTCGTTGGGCGGCCAAGCCGACCAATTTCAGAATGCGGACGCGCACGTCCGTCTGGCCGAGTCAAATGGACGAAAAGCGGACAAAAGTGGTGTCCGTTTGGATCGGCCGTTGAAGTTGCTCTAAGTGTAGCTAGAACGTACATGAGCAATGTGTGCAAGGGCACGCAAGAAGCAACACATACGCAACGCATCATCATCGACAGACCGAACCACAAAACCAACCGAAGCTGCACACATGATCGGCCTATCTGACGATCACTTCCCGGAACCAATTTGTTCATCCAGAAAACAAGAAGCAATTTGACTATACTCAACTTCTAAGAGGATTAAGAGTAATACTGTGCTTAATAAAAATTAAAGCATCATATCGCGGTGTCACTCCTCCTCCTCCTCCTCCTCGTGGACGGTGACCTCCACGTAGCCCTTGGCGGCGTACTCACGGAGCACCCTCTCTTTGTACGCCATCCTGATGTCCTGCATCCTCTCCACGTTCTCCGCCGCCTCGGCCAGCAACTCCAGCACGGCCGCGCCGACCGGCCCCAACCGCGCGAACCGATCGAGGCCAGGTGGCCGGAAGGGCCTCCTCTCGAGGGCCATGGCGTGCTCGATCTCCTCCTGCGTCAGCCGCCTGATCTTCGGCTGAGCATGCGCCGGCGATGACGACTCCATTAATTTTTTTCCAGGGACGAGTGCGCGCGGCTGTCTAGTGCGTTTGATGGATTGCCTGGGCCGAGGGGAAAAGTCCACAATATATATATACTCGCAGGTGGGGCGTGGTCTCGGTCCATCTCCGACTCGGCTCGTGTGTCCGAGACTCCGAGTACGGTAGCCACTGCCCATGGCGGTGGCGAGGTTCAGTCAGGTGATCCGGCGGATGAAGACGCCGCAGGTGGTTCTCATCGACGAGGCTGGTCACGTTGTGGACTACCGTGCATGTCGTGCGGGTGAAGAATTCAAAAAAAGAAAAAAGAATTTGTGCCGTGTGACACCATACATTTTCTGTGTCACGTGGTGCGGCTTGGAGAGACCATCGGGCGCACCGCGGAGGTCTCCTCAATCCGCTGGCATGGCCCTTCCCCATCCTCTCTCTCCTCGCCGTCGCCGGCGCCGGTGGCCCGATGCTTTCGCCCTCCCAGTGAGGCTCCTACGCTTGATGGTGCTCTCAGGCGGCGGCGACGATCCAACACGGCGGCGGGTTGGCTTGGCGCTGGTGCGGGTGATCGGCTGCACGGCGGCGTGACCGTTGGCGGCGGAGCTACGCGGTGGTGCAGGATGGCGGCGCCCGCTCGGCCCAGATCTGGGCCCCATCTGGGCCGGGGCGGGCCATCGGCTTCTTCGTCGGCGGTGTAGCCCCCTGGAGGTGAAGATGGGACGTAGGGAGGCTGGCTGGTGGCGGTGTTATCATCGGCGTGCTGCAGCGTGGCGGCAGCGGCTTTGCGAGCCCGATCTGGATCCGCCCGGGAGGCCTGGTGTGCCCCTGCTACCACGTCTGACTGGCTACCGCGACGGCGCTAGAGCAGTGACCTCCCGCGCAACGGCGGTGGAGGTAATTCCCTCCCACGCGACCTCGGTGTTGTCGTCCTCGTTTCCTTGCGCTTTCCTTTTCCGTGCTCTATGCCTTGCGATGGTGACCACCGTGCGATGAAGAGGGTAGCATCAAGACCGTGGTGGTGCATGCTGGTGGGTGGCAAGCTGGTTGGAAGCCTACGGAACGGCTAGGTAGTGGTGTTTTGGGGTTGGGAGAAATCCTTGTCAGCTCTTCTGACACCGACGCGGTGACGCCTGTGGGTGTCGCCATTCCTTCCGGAAGGGCGTCGGATGTTCCCATTCCCCTCTTCCCTCCGCGTGCCGGGGAAAACCTTAGGACATGTCTGGGCAACAGCGTCGTCGTCGTCGCACTCCTTGAAGGTGTTGCTTGGTCCGTGGTGTTTCGGAGTGCTAGGAGTGTGGTGGAACGGCTCTGGAGGACGCAATGGTGGCGGGTCGCCCGCGTTACGTTGAGCTGTCATTGTTGGCATTTGTTTCTATTTTATTCTTTTGCTTTTCATTTGGGCTGATCTGTTGTTGGCCCCGACAGTTGTTTCATGTGGTTGCTATATCAGTATAACGGGGCGCAAGTGTATTCCCAGAAGTGGGGGTGCTTAACCTCTCCCGGCTGACTGGTGAGCATGTGTCCCCTTGCATTTGCACTTCGGATCTCTCTCTCTCTCCACCACTCAAGATCCACCTTCCTCCAATTCGAGCGAAGAGGTCTCCTGAGATGGCAATGGGCAAGGAGAAGTTGATGAAGTTTGCGGGTGAAGATGTGCGGAAGCTTGCGTGTCTGCGCGAGATCTGTTCCTGGTTCAAGGGCAACCAAAAGATGAAGGTGGAGGGCTAGGTGTGTTGGATGTGCTGACTAAGAGCATCTCCAGCCGCGCCCCCAACAGGCTCCCAAGGCCATTTTTTAGCGCCGGTGCTGGAAAGACGGCTCAGTTGCGCCCACATGAGCCCAATTTTCACTAGTTAGGCCCAAAACTGGCGCCGATGGAACCAGGCCGAACCCGGTGCGCTGGGGCAATCGTTTTTGGCGCGAAAGAACGGCGGGCCCGCCGAGTCAGCGACCCCCGCGCCTCGTCGTCCTTATCGCCTCGGTTTCCCACGGGGAATCAATGCCAAGGATGCCATCGTTCAGCCTTCCATTGATTCCTCACGGGCGATGCAGTGCGGCGACACGCCCCCTCCCATCGTGCGTACAACGATGCCGCCCCCCAGGCCGTTATAAAAAGCCGCCCCTCCCTCGTAGGTGGATGCACATGTTGGGAAATGTAACATGCATCAAAAAAATTCCTACGCTCACGCAAGATCTATCTAGGAGATGCATAGCAAAGAGAGGGGGAGAGTGTGTCTACGTACCCTCGTAGACCGAAAGCGGAAGCGTTTGACAACGCGGTTGATGTAGTCGAACTTCTTCTCGTTCCGACCGATCAAGCACCGAAAGTACGGTATCTCCGAGTTCTATACACGTTCAGCTCGATGACGTCCCTCGAACTCTTGATCCAGCAAAGTGTCAAGGAAGTAGATGAGTTACGTCAGCACGACGACGTGGTGACGGTGATGGTGAAGTGATCCATGCAGGGCTTCGCCTAAGCATCGTCTGTGGAGTAGAGCTGGAAGACAGAGGCAGGAGGTGGAGCGGCTTCTTGCATGGAGCTTTCGGTGGAGATGTCAAGTGCCTGGCCGACAGGTGCTACGTTGTGTCATGCTTAGTCGGCAGGTGTTATGCACAACAGATCTTCCAGATATCTTCGCATCTAGACGGATGAGCGCGGGATGGTGGCGCCGTTGGGCGCCGTGGTGGCGTCAACGGATGGACGGACTGGCAAGGATGATGCAGATCTCTCTCCTGAAGATGGGTCAGCGATTCGATCATGATGGCGGCGTCTAAAACGTGTACATGTGGTGTATGCTTCAGGTCTGCTGCACCGGCTATGCGTTTCGATACGTTATGTGGATGGATCGGCGACGGCACCTGTTTTAAATATGAGTGAGCATTCCACATTATCGAGTTTTGTAGTAGGTGTGAGTGGTGGCTTCGGGTGGCTTGATGTGTGTTATTGTTAGATCTATGTTGAGTAATAAATATAAAGATGGCCGTATGCATCGATTGATGCAGAGGCCGGGGGTCTTAACCTCCTTTTCAAAATAAATTGCGCAGTGCGGGTAAAGCTCCACCATGTTCTTGCAGGTTGATTCTGTTCCACCGCCTTGGCAAAATAGAGAAATATACGTTGGCCGAGGAGGAAACACACTGCCATTCAGCTGAAGAATATGAGCCTCTGCAAGGCAAAGTTAGCGTCACGAAAGGGATAGAAGCAACGCTAGAAATACCCGAGGGTGTCACCTGAGTTATTCCTTGCTTCCCTCGGAATGACGAAGGTAAGCACCGGTTCTTGCGTTCCAGCCGGGTGGTAGGTCTGCATCATCATATATAAGAGACAGCAACATTGCCATGCACCCCATTCCTGAAACTCACAACATAAACACCATCTTCACAGTCCCATTCGATCGAGGAGGCGGCTGCTAGCTGCAATCTTCAGCACAACTGCAAGGTATACATGGTGTTTTCTGAAACATTTCAGCAGAAATTGCAAGGTATTGCAAAGAATTGACAGCCATCATGCATGCATGCAGTTCGAGCAGATACATACATACACACACACAGGATGCAGGGAATCGCCAAGGCGCTGAGCCAGCACGGGAAGCAGCTGAGGCTCACCGTGCTGCAGCGCATGAACAAGGGGATCTTCTCCTGGGCCACACTCATCTCGCGCATACAGAGCGAGTCCCCGGCCGTGATCATCCCTCACATGGGGCTGGAGAACATCACCGTCCGGGAAATCCTCAGGGCCAAAGGGGAGGCTCAGTCGAGGGCGGTCTACTGGTGCAGCACCACCCATCTGGTGCATGAGGCCGTCAAGCACGTAAGAGCTTGCTGACTGTTTGCATCTTCCTTCCTTTTGAAAAATGTGCTAGCTACTGTGCTTCCAAATGACTGACTGAATATCGTATCGATCGTGCTTAATTCAATCTGTAGATGACGGCCAATAATGTCGGGTCTCTAGTCGTGCTCAAGTCGGGGGACGACAAGCAGCTTGCAGGAATTGTAACTGAAAGAGGTAAACCACAAATCAGCAGCCAATTCAAAGGATTCTTAGAAAAAAAAAAGAAGAAAAATCAGTTCACAGCATAACATGCACTAACCTTTCAAAATGTCACAATTCATCCTCATCTGATACAGATTTCGCTAGGAAGATCCTCTTACCCGGGCGACCCTCAGAGGAAACAAGAGTTGAAGATATCATGACAGAAGAGGTGAATGGGCTTAAAGAAGAAAAACAAAAAACTGCAACAGACTGAATATCACAGCACATTTCTTTAGCCCTCACAATTTTCTTTACTGTGTTACAGAACAAGCTAATCACTGTATCCAGCAATACCAATATTCTGCGTGCGATGGAGCTAATGACAGGTAATGGAACATTCAATTGGTAAAGCATTTCACTATTTACGATCCTATCATGCGTGCACGCTACAAGGAACTGTAGCAATTTTGGAAAAAAAATTAACTACTAATTTGGTTTTGTTTTCTTATTTTTCTGGATCAACAGACGAGCACATTCGACACGTCCCAGTTTTCGACGAGAAGGTAGTTGGTATGATCTCCATTGGTGATGTGGTCAGAGCAATCGTGGACCAACAGCACCAAGAAGTGAAACAACTGAAGAAGTACATCACTGGAGATTATTATTAGCATGTAGCTCTGCTTCATGAAGAAATGTACAGAATATGCAATTATTCATAACATTAACCATGAGTTATATCTTCCCACATATTACCATTTGGAATGATTAAAAAAATTCCATGCTGATAAGTGATAAGCAATGTAGGAAGCATACAAGATGCATGATTCTTGTTTCAAAAGCGATCAAATCTGGACGTGCTTCTGCAAGAACCTGAAGTCTTCGTTGATGAATATCTTCAAGGAATTCAAGTATTCCGGCTTCACCACAATGCCCACTAGTGACAAACGGATAAACAGAAGTGACTTTCCTGATGAGAAATGGAAAAACATGTGTATGTTAAGCAGTAAAATACCTGTAATCAGAGCCATCAGAAAGATTTGAGACTTCCTTTAATCACCAATTTCAAATCCATAATGCGTTTCGAGTGCCATTTTTTAGTATCTTTTCATTGTGTTGGATCCAAATATTCCAGCAGCCCAAAATCACAATGTCGAGAGCAATTTGTGAGGACCTGACAAGCCAATAATACTTCATCATAGAATGAGATGCATCTTTTCTTACCAGGAATGACTCCCAACAGGTAACTCTATGAAAAATGAGTGGTTTTGCACCTTTTGTGGGGAAAAACAATTTAGTACTCTAAACTTTCACTTTTACAACACTGAGCTTTGTGTTTTCTCTCGGGCTGTGAAATGTGTTTTTTCATAAAAAATTATGGCCATAACATAAAAGGAGTCAAATCTGTACATGGTACAAAAATTCCTACCTGAGAAATTTCACCCCGCAGTTTCATCTAGGGAACGCACGTTACAACTGACGACTGTCAAAAAAAAAAGTGAAACAGTCAACGATTTTGTTTGCGATTTTGTATATCAGCGATGAAAGAAATCCTCAGGAGACTTCATCATTTTCAGAGGAGAATACATACATAGTAGTTGAGATAAAACCTACAGTACAGTACAAGAAACAGGGTATGCATACAGCATAGCAGCTTATTGCAGGTTAATATCTCCATAACAACTCTGAATCTGTATCACATACATTGCCTCAAACTCTCTTAATAGCTAATAAGGGTTCATGAACCTTCGCCGCAAATCATTTCGCTCGCTCCTCAGTACAACTTCACTATTACTGCTTGCTAATCCTCGACTGATTGTACCTCCGAGTAGGCCGACTTGAGAACTAAGAAGAAATACACCACCATTTCACAAATGTAAGTGCACAGGTATCTCATTTTGTAGAACATCACGCAGCTATTACTAAATCTCCAGGACATGTTGACAACGTAACACCAGGGGCAAGCCGTCTGAAGGAGTACAACTCTATGCTGCTGGGTAGTATTGGTTAAGGGATCTAGTTATTGCCCTGATGGTGTTTGGAGTTGTCCTGCAGCAGCCCCCAATAAGGGCAGCCCCATCTTTGCACCACTCGCCTACATATGAAACGAAATCGCCGTCTGACACACCAGTGGATTCCTGCACACCAAATGAAGCATATCATTAGTGTTTCGAGTTCTAGAACAACCTCAGGTGTACTATTTTATTAGTAGGACAGGCTAGAAGGTGGCCTCTACACATAACTTTTGGCTGCTAACCAAAGGGAGATGAGAATGGCTGCCAGAAATAATTCAGAGGTAATAAAAAAAACTAATAAGATAGTATTGTATTACTTTTTATATTATGTCTCCCTCAGAAAAACTGGCCTGGTAGTATGGTTCTTTCTTGCACTTTGGCGAGCAAATATCCAATCGTTGTGGATGTTCATCTATCCTATTTACATTAACATTTCTACCCTAAAAAGCACGGATACGGGGACACGGACACGGCGACACGCATACGGGGACACGGGATACGGCATTTTCCAAAAACAGCCCATCGGGGACACGGCAAGTATATATAAAAATAAATAAAAATATGCCATGTAATATAGAGTTAAAGACGAAAAAATAACGAGAAAGAGATCGCCCCATTCAGCAGTAACTGGGCCACAAAGAAGATGATCCATTAGTAATTGGGCCGGCCCAGCTAGTGCAATCTCAAGAGCAACTGGATGCTACAGGTTAATCTGCACCGTCAAAACTCAAGCCCTATCTCTCTCTGCCCTAACGCTCTGACCAAGCCGCCACTCTCCTCCCAGCAATGGACCTCTCATCTACCCCCCAGCAGCTCTCGGCCTCTCGCCACCGCCCTCCTCCCAGCGTGCTCCTCTTGCCATAGCAGCAGCGGCGGCCAGCGCTGCAGCGGGGGATGCAGCAGCAACAACGGCGGCGTCGCGGGCGCAGCAGCAGCAGCACCATGGCAGCGAGGGCGCGGCAGCACGGCGGCGAGGGTGCAGCAGCAGCAGCGCGGCGGCGGGAGGGTGCTCCAGATCCAGCGTTGCCTCATGTCCCTTCCGTGTCCCAGCCGTGTCCTCCCTTTTCTTTCTTTCTTTTAATTCTTAATTCGGGGAATACGGCGGGATACGCGTATCCCCGCGTGTCCGAGCGTGTCCCCGTGTCCAGCCGTGTCAGCACGGGGATTCGGCAACTTCTGCCGTGTCCATGCTTTGTAGTTTCTACCTATACCTAAGGTTGAGCAGGAAAATGGAAAACAAAAGGAATAGAAAATATCCAAAGAAACTAGAGTTAGGTATTTGATTGATGGGTTTTTTGTGTTCAGAAGAATAAGATGGTTGCTATCGAAAACATGTGTAAATGGATTAAAATAAACTTACCACCCACTCCTTTTTCTCAGCATCGTATCTTTCTCCACTGTTGGGATATATCAGAATTGGCTTGTCTGTGACCTGTGGCAATGGAGCCCAGCACAGATAGTCACAACAAAGAAAATTACTGCTGCTCAGCAGTTAGCATGGTAAGATATTATTTGTATAATCAAAACATGGGCATTCACATTTCATGGAACATGCGAAAGGATGGAATGGAAGCCTAACTTGCATTTGTTTACAATTAAAAGGAATGTAAAATGATCTTACCTTCCGAATGGAGAGTATCAAGCTATGAATAAATCTTGGAGGTGTGCAGTTTATACCAACTGCACCAACCTTTGCACATTCATTAGCAATTTTAGCACATTCGACTAACGAGTCTCCACTAACAACATTAACTCCATCTTTTGAGTTGAAGGAAAACCATGAAGGGATATTTATGTTGCATTCCTCAAGAAGTTCAACATATGCCTACAAGATACATCACGAGCAAACCATCAGATACTATTTCATAAGAGTGTACTGTAAAATTTGAGGTAGCATATCCTTGCGCGATCAGTGAAGTTCAGCATACCTGAGCTTCCAATTTGTTAGGGATTGTTTCAAAAGCAATCAAATCAGGACGTGCTTCTGCAAGAACCTGAAGTCTCCGCCGATGAAAATCTTTCAGGAATTCTAGTGTCCCAGCTTCACCGTAATCCCCACTAGTAACAACCGGATAAAGAGAAGTGATTTTCCAGAAGTAAAATGGAAAAACATGTACTATGTTAAGTAGTAAAATACCTGTACTCAGAGCCATCAGCAAGATAAGCCCCATAACTTCCTATTGAAGCTGCAACCAGAATAGGACGCAAGGGAGTGGATTGATCTGGATGCTGCTTCAGAAACATCTCACGTGCTTCACATGCAATCTCAACACTCTTTGTTAGTAAATTTTCACCTTGTTCTTTTGAAAATCCCTTGGACTCAAACCCTTGAATGGTAGCCTGTAACACCAAATTTGACTGTCAGTATGTTCATAAATGTGACGGAAACATAAAAATGAAGAGTGAAACTGTATTTCAGAACCTGATATGATGCTGTAATTATAATGTTTGCACCTGCTTCTATGTAGTCTAAGTGGACCTGTATCATACACATACGAAGATTAGAATGCTACTCCCTCCGTTCGGAATTACTTGTCGTAGAAATGGATGTATCTAGATGTATTTTAGTTCTAGATACATCCATTTCCGAGACAAGTAATTCCGAACGGAGGGAGTATATGTCAATCTGTAAATGGCTATACATGCAGAAGAAGAATTGCTCAATTACATAATTGCAGCAAAAACACTTGTGAATAACTGATAAACACAAAACACAGCATAGTGAGCTCCTATAATGAATTCAGGTCTGTTCCAATGTTTGTTTGCAAGTTGCACCTAACAATAACTGCATATTTCACCAATAGATTACAGAGAATAGTCTGCAGCCTGTGTTAACATTGGAAATCACCTGGATGCCTGAATCCAGCAACCACATGTCAGGTAAAAAATGGGTCCTGAATCTCAAAAGTCCAGGACTTGTCCTACCGCTTGTTCAACGAGTAAAAACTATTTCTCCAGATCAGACCAGTGCATAGCCAGGTAAGGCCTTGTACAATGCAAGGTGCTTAGTAAAATAAACCGAATTTTTGTTAGGCATCAGTGCTTAGCTCTACAGGGGGGTGCCTAATTAAGTGTCTACCCTCTACAAATAAGCACCGGTGCTTACAGAAAAACTGATTTATTTCTCTAAGCACCTTTGTTGTATAGGGCCTAAGGAGGAACTAGTAAAGCACTGTTGCATGATGTTTCCGGAGCGGTTTCAAGATGGGTCCAACAAAGCCAGGTTCAAACATTCAAATCATATCAGACCCGATAGAGAGTGGCCCTAAACTCTAGGCTGAGGCCATGCTAGAAGTTATAGAATAGTTGGAATACATTTTTATGTGTGGATAATACTCGGAATAAATTGGGCATGTGACATAAAGCTTTGTTCCTAATTCCTGAATGGTATGAGGTTCGCGGTAATGTTGGTAGCTGGCACGCAATTTATTCTACAACACTAAACCATCTTTTGTACACTTGAAGCTTGCCATCCAGTCATGTCGTTCGAATGCTCATCAAAACTGTAGCATGACAGTGCATAGAAGTGGACACACACAAGAAAAAAGAACTGATTCTCCCCTCTTTTTGGGGTCTTTACCTGCCAAGAGCATTACAAAGAAAGAAAAACGAATCCTCCCTTGCCTAAGCCTGTGCTAGCATCGCGTGAGGTGCTACTGCCCTGTTCATGATGCAGCACACTAGTACCTTATTATTCTAATGGGGCCATGAGGCACTTCCAGCATCCCTGGAAGAGAGGAAGAAAGGAACATTTTCCAACCACCTTGTAAGCTAGTGACCCATAATGTTGGCTTGTTCGGCTGAGCTGATTGTTAATGGTTCCTCATCTAAAAAATTGACTACTATGTTAGATTTTAGGAACCCGGCCTCACCAAGAATCATGGTGGGCACCGCCATTTCTTTCTACTCCAACAAGTATTCTGAATCGTGTAGAGAACAGGCGGCAAATATCAAAATGCTAGAAGAAAACTGGTGAATCCTAAGAACTACTCCCTCCGTCCCAAAAGTGTCAAAAAAACGTCTTACATTTTGGGAGGGAGGGAGTAATAATCAGCCAAAAGAAAACAGAATCGCCGAACTGGCAAGGCCAAGGTGGCTGTGTGCAGAATACATGAGGTGTTTGGGCGGCGGCGGCTTGCCTTGCGGATGAGGTGCGGGGAGGAGAGGATGCACTTGGCGCTCCAGAGCGGGTCGTTGAGGTCGGCGCCGTGGGCCTCGAGCTCCGTGGCCAGCCCGCCGTCCAGCACCAGCCTCCCGCCGCCGGCCTCCACCCACCGCCGCACCGCCGCGCCCGCGGCCCCCTCCTCCGCGCCGCCGCCTCCTCCTCCGCTCTTCACCACCATCCTCCTCCTCCCGCTGCTGCTACAGTGCAGTGTACTAGGTTTGGGGTTGGGGATTTTTGGATTTTGCGTGCGGCGTCGGGGAAGATTTATAGCGGGGGCGAGAAGAGAACGGTGGGAGGGAGAAGAGAACCAACCCCACAGCTGCAAAGGAGGCGAGGAGAGGATGGTGACACGGCAAAGAGGGTTTTTAGGTCATCCTACCCTACCCTATCTTACATGAGTTTCTCCTATCCAAGTAAACATGCCACGTGATCTTGTCACCACCGGACTTGGCTTACTTTCTTTTCAAGCACCACACTAGAGTGTACGCCACCAAACGTAAAATTTGTCATTTGGTGATGTTGTCCAACTCTATAATACCGGTGCTAAGGCTAAATAACTCGAAACCAAGGCAATTAGCTGCTCCGATATCAGATTGGTTGAGCGAGAAGAAAATGTAACATGTTCACCGTCTCCTATCTCCGTGCCATGGCACGATTGCGGGAACAGAGCAAAATGGAGTCGATGGACGGACGACAAGAACCATGGGAATGGCGGCACGACTGTATGCTAAAGCACAAAGATATCGTTGTTGGGCTTGGGGAGGACGCGGGGAGTATGACATCATTGGCGTCGCTCGCCCTATGGCTGGAGTAAATCTAGAGGGTCGCATG